GGATGGGACGCCGAAGTCAGGCGGGTCTGTCTGGCAGGCACATCGCCATGTTTCTGCTGCATCCCTTTTCTTTGAAACCTCCAACGAACGCTTAGGAAATATAGAGAAATATAGAGTCAATCTACTTGACGTAATTTTTTTGTAGATGAGATTCACATTATCCTATAAAGAAAATTTTAGATTCGTGCCTGGACGCCTTCGTCGGTTCGAAGCTTCTTGACTTTATTTTTTATGGCATAGCAAATAACCATCCTTAAGCTAATAATTATGTTTGTGGAAACAGAAGCGGAAAAATTAATTATCAGTAGGGTGCAAAGCTCCCAAACGGGCGTTCGCTCACGGTGGTATCCATCGGAAAAAGAAAAGACAATCGGGCGGCGAACGGCCATACTCTCAAGGGGATCCTCTGCCTTCGCATTTGTTTGTGCCTGACCGTGTCCGCCTTTGAAGCTAAGCCCATCGCAAATATTTGGACAGTAAAAATGTTCGGCCTTCGAGGTTTCGAAACTAAATAAAGGCAAACCAAATAGACACGCTGCGTGGTCTTTCAAACACTCAATCAGCGGCGGAGTCTTCTCTCGTAGGGCTTTTGCTCTATGTACCTATCTCCGAATGGAATTAGTATAAGAGCTGGCGATCCTTGTAGCGAACGGAAAGGCTGTCCTAATAATGAGTTTGGTGTGCGATTTTCCGTTTTAAGCTTTTTGAGTGGAGAGCTGGCTAGCTTAAAAGTAACATTTCGAGCCACGTTCGAGAGTCTGTAAACTACGTGATGCAATTCTCAACGTAGCGTTTGATCTGGCAACACTGGAGGCGCCGGGCCTGGAGGGGAGACAGGAGAACACAGTGTTATTAGGTCTACCGATTTTTCAAACAAATATTTATACGGGTTCTATAAGTTGTGTGTAGCCCACTTTTGCATGACTTTGGAATATTGACACCGTTCTCTTCGCGCCATTCAACATCCCTATTGGAGGAAACCCTTAAAATGCGTTTCGCTTTCAAGCATACATGAACAGGATTAATTTGTCTTCAAATCAAAATAATTTTTAGAATATCCGAAAAAGTAAAAAAAAAATATAATAATATTGTTGACGTAATCACCATCCAGACTCCAGACCCCACTCCATGTCATAAAAAATGAGAGAAGCAGTGCTTACGTAAAACTTGAATAGGTTCTTGGATTTGACCTTGAGTCTCACGTCCAAGATCATAAAAGTACATGAGAGCATATTAGAAATTAAATCAATCCATTGCCGGACCCAGTTAAAAAGTAGTTGACCTTGAAGGTGAGGTTCAAGATTTAATCATCGGTCACCATTAAAACCTTTGTTAAAAGTTATTGGAGGCTTGTCCTTAACAATATTTTTCATTAATAATTCTGCTAAACTTTTAGTCTCAGCCTCACACATTTGATTTTGATTGGACCTTAAGAGGTTCTTCAACTTAAATTTTAATCCACAATCGGACGGAGAATGTTGCGTTCTTTCGATTTCCGATGTCAAAAAGTATGATTTTCATTTGAAAACAAAATGTGACCTTGAGATTACTTTACAGATTAGGTTACAGGTCAACTACAAGGTCACAATTAACTCCTATCCTCGTTCAATGTTACTAAAGCCTTGACGTTTTTCAAAAATACCTCAACTTGTGTTACACCCGGTATATGGTACGGTCACAGAGGTACGGTCTATTCTAGCGTTCCAAAGCTGTTCTAGTTTTGGTTAGGTATATCGCATATTGTTCCATTCTGCATATATAATAACCACATAATATTGCACTTAGCAGTATCATAATCCTAAACATTCGCCCGATTCCCGTATGTATTCTGAGGAGTCCACATATGCCCCTCTGTAAACAACTTTCTTATGCACACGCCGATAATGCGACACGGGCCTGCACTATCTGCGTCTATTGCTTGAGATTAATTGACCATAAGTGAATTACGACGATCAATGTTGCACCTGTCATCCATTATTGCATTAATATTCAACTGTTTGTGATATGTTACTTCAGGGAAACTGACTAATTTTCATTAGATGGAATCACAGCCTTATACAGGGTGTTCAAACCACTGATCAAAAGAAAAAACGCCGAGACACGTCAAAATATTTGTCAGGGAGGATAACTTTTTAACCAAAATCTACTTCACCCCTTTCACCCTCGGCCCCCTAGGGTCATTCCTTCAAAAATTTTAAACGACAAGGGGTATCGAGTAATAGCTTGTTTCAAAGGTCTTTCGAAGTCCTTTATTTTGACGTTCGATTTTTTAAAATCAGTCTATTCGTTTTTGAGAAAATTAGAAAAATCTTTATTTATCTTAATTTGTTCAGATAGAAAATAAAAACACACGAACATATCACTTTTTATTTCAGTAAGTGTTCAAAATGTTATCCGTTAGGGTTTGTCAAATCTACAATTCGTTTATAATCTAAAACGGAAACTACAAACATACACAGCAATTCGGAAGATTAGACCTGGCAACAATGAAATAACAACCCGAATTTTTTCCGCATTCTTTTCTTCAACACAGATATCCTGGGCGGACTGTATTTATTGTTATACCTGTTTAGTTATTTGTTGCTAAGCTAAAGAAAGATTTTAACTTGCTGTCCGTTACCTTTGTGACAATCTTGGGTTAGTGAAAATTAATTTATTGATTCGGATTTTACTTCCAAAATGGTTTACACACTAGCCTAAAGAGTGGATATGATTCTAATTTATGCTACCCAAAATCAATGTGATCGGCAAACTGCCGTCACGTTTAATATAGACATCCGGGGAAAATAACTTCGCATAGGTATGTTTTGGACCTTGTTACTAAATATACTCAAACTGGATATGTTGCAAATAAAAAACGTGATCATCGAAGAGTTTTGGATGAAGCCGCTCAAGTTCAAATTTTGAGTCATTTTGGAATAAATCCTAATACTTCATTACGCCAAATTGTTGCTGCGACGGGTATTTCATTAGGCTCTGTTCACACAGTTACAAAAGTCCATAAATTTCCTCCAGTTAAATTGAAAATATTGCAAGAGTTAACCGAAAAAGATTTGGATAGGCAACTTGAGTTTTGTGAATAAATGACTGCAGCTAAAATGATAATACCATTCATGTAAAGAATATTTGCTTCAGTGATGAATGTACATTTTATCTAAATTGACTTGCTAATAAGCATAACTGCAGGTATCGAAACAATGAAAATCTCCATGCTTTTGTAGAAGGGCATACCCAGTATCCCCAATAAATTAATGTATGGGCAGGCATTTTAGGAAACAAAGTGTTGGGCCACCGTTTATTAATGGAAATTTGAATGGAGACATTTATTTGAATATGCTGGAAAATACCATCAATTCGCTTATCACTGAGACCATTGAAAACCAAATCAAAGAGAATGGAAACCCTATACTTGATGAGGTTGAAATATATTTCCAGCAAAATGGCGCTCCCCCTGATAGGGCGAAGATGGCCTATAGAATGGCCTGCTAGATCTCCTGATTTGACGCCATTAGACTTTTTTCTATGGGGCCATTTGAAATCTATTGTGTTTACTCCTCAACCTGAAAGTTTGGATGAACTTCGTCAACGGGCCATCGAAAGCTGCCATTAACATATATCCCACATGTTTCTGAATATGTCCGTCAGGAATTTGAACATCGCCTATATCATTGTTTGGCAATAACGGGCAACATTTTGAACACTTATTGAAATAAAAAGTGATATTTTTCGTGTGTTTTTGTTTTCTGAACAAATTAAGATAAATAAAGATTTTTCTTTTTTTCTTGAAAACGAAACCACCGGTTAAAAAATCATACCTCAAAATAAACGACTTCAAAAGACCTCTCAAACAAGCTATTACTCGATATGTCATTTAAAATTTTCAAGGGGATGACATTGAGGGGGCAGAGGGTGGAAGGGAGTGAAGTGGTTTTTGGTTAAAAAGTTGTCCCCCTTGACAAATATTTTGAAGTGTATCGGCGTTTTTTCTTTTAATCAGTGGTTTTCGATAAATCCGTGTAGGGAAGTTTGTAAAAATGCGCAGGGTGTTCCATTTAAATCTTTGAGGAATTGTTCATTTAGCGTTCATGACCACCCTGTATAAACTGTTAAAAAACTGAAACAGTAAGTGGATAAGAACAACATATGAAAACAATTACGGAGTAATGAGAATATATTCCAAGTAAGGAGCATACTGTTACTACAATTTGGGTAGTTAACTTTTTTACATACTGTGCGCAATAACAGGGTTATCAACCCAGCCCACCCTGTATATAGATCCCCCAGTCGGTAATATTGTTTCCTTCTTAAACGATTCCACTCATAATACTTCAAATTATATGATAGATATAAAAAAAATATATTTGAAAAAATGCTGTTTTACCTAACCTTTCAAACTTTCCCGCGAAAACGGATCTATAGTTATAATGACGTCACTACTGCTATCTGTCATCACCGATGTTATTACTGATATCGAACATTCAATTGGAGGTGCTTGTGATAGATATTAGATTGCAGTGCCTAGAAGCTTTTATACGCTTTAAATTGTCCAAGAGTCACCATGATGGGATCTTTCGAGACGGAGCGACAATTTCTGTTATCATCGGGAACCGAGCCATATTCAAAAAGATGTCGCGTAAGCATGGGTGTGCAATGTGTTTTGCTGCGCTCTTCCTTTTCAGTTTTTGAGTACACAATACTACCGGAAGCTTATTAGAAATGTTAATATCGATATAATAAGGTTTAGAAACCAGTGCCCTAGTGAAAAAATCGTTTTTTACTTTGTACCTACCTTATAAAATATTTTAAAAGAACGCGTTTGGCAGAACAATCAACTAATCGTTCCAGTTGCCATGACAGTTGACAATAACCTTAAATATGCTGATTCGTGGATTAAAGTATGTTCCATTTCAACTAAGGTGGAATTTCTGATTATTGGTTAAAATAATATTATGGCAGTTACTTATATTTGATATTAAAAATATCCTTACCAAGCTTCTTACCTGACATACACCCCAACTCCGTGGAATTGTTGTTGTGATTGTTGTTACTGAGGCTGGTGTTGTTGTTGCTTTCGCCTGGCGTGTTGCCAGCGCCGCCTGGCGTCAACGACGTCTTCTCCATGACGTCGTGGTCCTCTTTGCAATAGAGGGCGCCACCTTCGCGCAACGCGAACTCGTCGCCCGGCACCAGCTGCCGGGCGCACTGGCAACACCGGAAACAGTCAATGTGGTAGATTTTCGTTTTCGCACGCATCACGAAGTCGCTTTTGGAGAATGAGGAACCGCACTTGTCACATTTCGCACCAAACAGTCTGGAACAAAAAGAGAATAAATCTAGCAGATGCATCTAATACTCGTACAGTCAGGAGGTAAGTTGGAGAAACTGAGATAAGTGGCAAATGCGCAGTGCAGTAGCAAGTTCAGATGTATTTTATTGTATGAAATTTACAAACCATTTTGTTTAGTGTAGCATATTTTTGTTTTATCTTATATTTTAAGAAAATATGACCCCGACACTTGACACATGTAGTACCAGTGGTGCTTTGACAGGGTTGCCATGTTGAGGGATTATCCCCAAATTTGGAGGATTTTTACTTGGGAAATTTTTTGAGGATATCACACGTTTCATGGATAGAACGCACCCTCAACGCTTTGAATCAAATCTACCCCTTTTCATTAATTATGATTTGGGGGATTTCTTTAAAAGCAGTTATTGTAAAAAAACTTGTGCTTGTACTGGGGATATTATCTCTAACCCAACGCTGTGCTTTGACAGATCCGCCATATGAACACCAACAAACGGATTGTCAATTAGTTAATTGTAACAACTATGTTGCTTATTTCTTGTAAAACCTTGGTGAGAGATTTATCGATTTGGTTTAGTATAAAATTTTGGTCAGCTGTCAGTTCGACATTTTTTTATTAGTTGCTCACAGCCTGCAGAGCTACAAATGTATAGTTGTTTCCTGTTCAGGAGCAATATACCAAACTTTTGATGACTTCCTAATGCTCACACATCTATCATGTGGCTGAAAAGCAAATAACCTTTGTAATTCCAAGCCTATTCCTGGCGACGAGATTGTGGTCACATATATTATATACAACAATCCCGAAACAACCATAATACAGTGTCAACAGCCGATTTCGTACAACAAGCATCCGATTAATCTGATATTTAGACGTTGATAGATGTCAGTGGATAGACGCCAACAATTTGTAATATGGCAGAGTTGGAGCCAGTTTATTTCTGATAGAGATACTCGATAAATTTTTATTGTTAACATTGCTGAAACTTGAAAGAGCATCGATCAAGTAGTTTATTTTTATGGTTATGGCCAGTACAATATGCTAAATCAAGTATGGAAGGGGGGATATCTGGCTACTACAAGAGTTTGTAGTGACTTTTATAGTTATGTATTTTAAAGCTTAACATCTGAATCTAGAGGGAATATTTTATCAGGGCGTATCATTTCTTTTTCTCATATTAGAAGGGGTTTTCAATACTAAAGTTGACTATGCTGACGTATAACAGGGAAAATGGAATAATTTTGTTGTATGTAAATCAAATCTAAAGAAATGCGAGAGAAAGGTAAATTTTATTTTGAGGTCATTAATTATGATTGATTGTTCGACCATCTACTACTGATATACAGGGTGGCGCATCGAAACGAAAGAGATGCATTTACTGGCAGCTCAGTTTTTTTTTGAAAAACGCTCAGACCCCTCGATTTTTTTTTCGAGGGGGGCACAAGTTTGGCAAAAAATCACGTTAGCACGTGCAGTCCTCTAAGCGGGGGTGACACCATCCCCAAAATCTTAAATGGAAAGGGGGGTCGAGTGATACTTTATTTTAAAGGTCTTTCAATTCCCTTTATAATGATATAAAATTAATGTACTTCAGTTCAGTAGTTTTGAAGATTTATTGATTTAAAGCTTAAATACATCATCATTAGTGGAGATCAATACATTTGGCAGCAAAGTAATTTAAAAATGAAGAATGAACTGACCCGTTAGGCAAGTAAATGTTGAAAATGGCCACCATGACTCTCCATGCAATAATAAAGATTTTGGTCAAAACGTTGCCGCACATTTTGCAATATTTGAGGAGTAATTTGAAGGCACCCATTCACAATTCTTTGTCGCAGGTCTTCTAATGATGTTGGCTGAGTAGCATAGATTTTGCTTTTTAAATGACCCCGCATAAAGAAATCCAAAGGTGATAAATCTTGCGATCTTGGGGGCACCCTACCAATGGCACCTGTTCTACCAATTCATCGATCTGGAAACGGCTGATCTAAATATTGTCGATCACGTAATGCGTAATGTGGTGGGGCACCATCCTGTTGGAACATCAACCTATTCGCAATGTACCGCTGATCATTCTGATTTTCAATTCAATTCAGGATCTATGGCGTCTTCCAGTAATTCCAAATACATTTCACCGGTCAAATTTCCAGGTAAGAAAAAAGGACCAACTAAATGATCGCCAAAAATATCAGCCCAAACATTTAATTTTTGTGGCTGCTGTATATGAGCCTCATGATAGATTGTGGGATTAGAATCGAACCAATATCGGCAGTTATGACGATTTACTACGCCATTTAAGAAAAAGGAACATTCGTCGGAAAAGCAAGTGTTGAATAGAAAATGTTCATCATTTATAATTCGTTCACTCATATCTTCACAAAATTGTAATCGCCGATCAAAATCGTCTTCATTAAGTTCTTGTACCAGGTGAATTTTATATGGATGAAAACTATGGGCCTTTAGAATCCGTTGGACAGTACGTCGACTAACACCACACACAGTCTCCAATTTGCGGGTACTTAACGTATGATCTACATAAACTTGCCCTAAAACCCCCACTTCTATTGTTTCGTTCCTTATGGGATTTTCAATGTTGCGTTTTTTATTGGCGACTGACCCAGTTTCCCGAAATATAGCTACAAGTTCTAGAACATATTTTCAGTACACGTTACTGTTCTCATGTCGCTCATTAAATATTTTTGCTGTTCTATTAGCGCACTGATTATTTCCGAAAAATATTTCGATAATTTCAACTCTTTTTGCTGTGGAATATACTATAATGGTTAATTTATGTAATAAAGCGCTCCAAGTTATTTTAACAACAAAGTTTGGTCAAATCAATCGCAAACTATGTACTAAATTCCTATCTAAAATAAGTACGAGATATTTCCTTATCTTTCTTCAAGAAATAACTTTTTGCCACAAAAAAAACGCTCCAATAGCTATTTTCAACATCAAAATGATAAACAAACCATGCGCGTAGTGAAGAAAAGCATTTACTCATTAAGTAAATTCTTTTAGTCAAATTTCCTCTGAAAGTAGTACAAACTAATCTGATGTAACTATTAAAGTCTACTTTAAGCTTTAAGTCAATAAATATTCAAAGCTACTGAACTGAAGTACATTAATTTTATATCATTATAAAGGGAATTGAAAGACCTTTAAAATAAGGTATCACTCGACCCCCCTTTCCATTTAAGATTTTAGGGTTGGTGTCATCCCCGCCCAGGGGACTGCACGTGTTAACGTGATTTTTTGCCAAACTTGTGTCCCCATCGAAATCAAAATCGACAGGTCTGAGCGTTTTTCCAAAAAAAACTGAGCTGCCAGTAAATGCGTCTGTTTTGTTTTCGATGCGCCACCCTGTATAAACTCTTTGTAATTGAAAATTATTTTTCACGTTTTAGTTCGGTTAACTATAAAAGCGTGATTTTTTCAGTTTTTTCAAAATATTATTTATTCATATCAGTGTTCGAGGCCGGATGTTACCTGAGCCTGGTATTCGCCGATCAGGTTGGACTGCAAAAAGAACTACTTATAGGTGAGATAACTTCTCCCCAGCAGCCACTGCAGACGATGTTAAGCAGCACTGTCAGGTCCAAGGATCAAAAAGACATTTAGATAAACTGATTTATAAGCCACCTTCACTCTCAACCGCCTTATCTCAAAACATGCGGAAAGCAGAATAATAATAGCAAATCATCCATTCCTATCCTTTCTCATCTCAGAGTCACGTCCTCGCATAAACTTCAAAACAGGTGCATACCAACTATACTAATAAACGCAAGCAAAAACTGTAAGATGTCAGACGGTGGTTTAGACAATCTGAAACCCGAAACACAAGGCAAATATTTGTTTTGGCGGGGAAACGTTCCTGTAGGTAGGTGGCCCCCAGGTGTTTTTCTTTGGGTTGACGCAGTAGGTACGAATTTAACGGCGCCGCCACACACAGGGGGTCACATTTTGACTCTTGTCTCACGTATTTATGGTGGTGTCAAATTATGTGACTGTGACGAGTCCCAGTTGATTGACGGGGGAATGCTGTTTTAATTTTCACTAAAGGGTGTTCCAAATCATGCAAGATTTGAATTAAATAGGAAATATAGTTTTTCTTCTTTGGATTGTTATTTTTTTATTGAACCATGAAGTACACAGTGTGGGTGTGTATGATACAGCACACGCCCTACTTAGCTTTGCTAGCTTATGTATGGCCCCCTTAAAAAATTTCATGAGTATTTTGCGTAAATGTGGCTGAATTTCCATGAGAAAGCATTAAATTGCTTCCTCCAATTCACGAGTGACTCATTAAAAAGTGATAATTATGATAAAAATGGCGTCAAGTAGATTGACTCTATACTTTGCACGCCTTCGAAACAACTTCTAGAAGAATTTTCCATGTAGTGCAATGGCATCAAAAAGGTTCTCACAGAATCAGTAATGCATTGTTTTGGCTTTTCTTGAAAAAATCTCATTGCAGTAATGAGTGAATCCGTACACGGTAGCCTCATTTCTTTGGATCCCCGTCGTAAAACTGGTTGTCAACAGTGTTTGATAACTGATTCTAATAGCTCATGATAAATATTTATATAATATTACGTCACGAAATCAAATAACATTATTCCAAACATCACGTTTAAAAAAATATGGTATTTTAATAATACCTCAAATATCCTTGTGCGGCTTTTGTTGAATTTTGACAGTATTGCTCACTGCAATAAGATCTAAGCTTAGCACTATAACTTAAAAATAATTGTGAATTCCAGTGGTGTTTCGGGAGCAGTGTCACGAATAATATTGACTTTAAAATGTACGCCGCGTACTTTTTTGAAAAATAGGTTTTTTTTATTAATAAGTTAATTATACACCTATTTTGCTTCTTGGTATGTCTCCTTCGTGTCTTACTTCCTTTGCGAGCAAAAAATAAAAACATCTTTTGTCGAAAAATTATTAAAATAAGATCAAATCAATATTGGCCGTTGCCGAGGAATGTTGCTCTGGTATTATG